CCGTTCGAAACGCTTGGCGATCATGACATGGCCAGCACATATGCACTGCATCCAAGCGGGCTCCAGCTTCAAACTGAAACCGAAAGAAACGCAGCCCAAGGATTGCCATCTCAGGAAGTTGCGCTGCAGTGCTGCGATTCAAGACGGACTGCCACGCAAACAGCGGGGCGAGGAAGGGTTTCATCCAAGTGAGCATCCTTGTCACAAAGTTCATGCGGCCGACAAATTCGACCAGCTGACGCCCGGTGACGACCCAGTTCGAGGACTCGGCCCGGGTGATCCATTCAGTGATCCATCCTGCACGCTTCGCGGAGATCCCGGAAGCCCAAGCAAAATAGTTGATGTGATATCCGATGTAGTCCATCTCGAGGCCACCATGGAATTTGTGATATGCAAATGGAGTTCCCAAGACCTCCAGCGCTAAGAACAAAGCCCAAAGCGTGATGAACTTATCGGGTCCGTAGACAATCACACGCAAGTCATCGACATAAATCAACATGTAGAAACTGTCGGATTGCAGCACGCGAAAAGCCCACCGGCCTACGGCCGCGAATAACCTGGTCCAGTAATAAGCTGCCGAGCTTATGCCGAATGTCCCGACTCGATTGAGCCATAGCACCCGAGACCGGCTCGATCATTTGCATGCCACGCGCGGCCAGTCTGATTCACGCACTTTAACGTTCCGATGTGCTTGCTTGATGTCAGCACACAATGCAAACGGAGCCTCCTTGCTTTCTTTGACCCTTGAAGCCACCTCCTGCAAATCCTCTGGCCCCGGAACCTGCAGCTTGTCAAGGATCCGAATTTTATTGTTCAAGTTGATGCCATGTGTTCCATCGTGCAATGGCCGCACATCCCCATTGGCCTTCGTAACTGCGCCCATCGCGGCGATGAGCACAGCATCTTCGCCATAAGTCCTTTTGGCCTCAGCCTCCGTTGTGCAAAGCATTAACCCAGCACTCTCGTCCTCCCGGAATTTGGCTTCAAGCTGCTCCGCGTTCAACTCCGCAGAACGATAGTTCAGCATCGAAGGATCATACTCGGATTCGTCAAGCTTCCTGAAAGTTGTCCGTTGGGAAAAGACCTGAGGGGTCCTCGGGATAGGTTTATCCCAGCCCAGTGGGACCCCCTCTGCAAACGATTCCGTTCCGTGATCCAATATCTTGAAGTCGGGATCACCCAGAACTTCAAGCGACTGCGATAGCAAGTGCAGCATGAAGGGCTGTCCCGGTGGCATGCGGAGAGCAGCTTCAGGATCTGGCAACAAGTTAGCTAACTGGGTGCGGACCCTTTGTACGACCTCTCGACTGAAAGGCGATGCTTGCATCCTGCCCGTGGCCAGTGCATACGCAGTAGCCCTCGGGTCCTTGATCGTCGTACGGACCGCCTCCAACAAGACGCCCCGGAGCTTCTCTGCATGCTCCCACTCAGATGAGCTAGCCCTCGCATCACGAGCCAAGGGACGCCAACGACCGGGAGAGCACAACCCAAAACCGTCCACCAATTCTCGCCATTCCTTAGTGTGCCGACATCGAATAGCAGGGCCACGGCATCGGCTCGTCGATGCGTCGAAGTCCTCTACTTTGTCCTCTCCTTCATCGGAACTCGGCACCTCGATTGCTGGTTCCTGCTCAGGTGCCTGTGGAGTGGGCCCTTCCACAGGGGTGTTAACAGGAGCCTGCCGGGTGGGCCCTCCGGCAGGGGTGCTACTGGGAGCAGGGGCCCCGGGAGCGGCGGCTCCGCGGGGGGTGTTAACAGGAACGGCCTCCGAAGCTGCTGCTTCAAGACGGGTTTTATGGATTGTTTGTGGGTCCTTGCCGTCGATCGCTACTGCTTTCCCCTTCTTTAGAGCTGGCGATGACGGCAGCACAAAGCCTAAGGACAGCAGCAAGCTATGGTCGGCTGCTGGCAGTCATCCGTGCGCTGCGTGGTGAAGCCAATGAGCATGAGTCGGTCACCTGTCCAAGGCTCGGTTTGATGAAACACTTCATGAGCTGGCAGGACCTGGGGTCCGTCCGCCACATGCAACAAGCATCCAGGCCGAGCGATCCCGCGGACTTCGCGGACAACAGTTCCAGCGGAGCACTCGTGCCACACTTCACCATGTTGAAATTTTGTCAAGGCCAGCAGCAAATTAGGATGCGGGGCATTTCGACTGTCTTTGTGCATGCTAGCAGTCACATTGTCAAAGATTGCGAAGGAGCTAAAGACCTGACCTGGGAAAGCTTGTCGCAATAGGCAAGTGAAGCATTGCACCGCCATTGGAAAGTTCCGGCAACTTTGACGCAAGCCGAAGAAGGGACCTTTGCAGAATGCACCCGCGAAGAAAGCTTTGCCTGGCATGTCCGAGTCTCCCGCGGCAGCAGGATGCGGGGTTTCGTACGGCACCAACCGTGCCAGTGCCTCGCCTTCATGTTGCGACAAAGGTCTGTCTTGGCTGAGCAACCAGCCAGCAAAGTCCTCGGCTCCTTGAAAGGAGTGATCTGTGGCCCGTGCTTCCTGCACATGCTCAAGCGAACATGTGGCGACCAAGTCAAGAAAAGCAGCTGGGAAAGCAGCGTGAGTGACCCAATCTTTGCTGTCCCTCCCAACAGCCCTCATGTGCACATGCCCACAAGGCCCAAGCGGCCCCACATACCATCCATCCAAATCAAACTGGGGCCAAGGCGAGCTTTCAAAGGAACCTTTCAAGTTCGTGAGGACACGGGTGGGATGTGCCACATCGGCACCATATTGACACATGTGTGTGACCCAAGTCCTGGAGCCAGGAACGGACCGCACCTCGTCCCGCTGCCAAATGCTAGCGGGCTCTTGAAGATTACGGAGCTTGCCAAGGTCCTCAGGATGAACCAAGAGCCAACCCACACTTTGCTCCGAAAGAACCTGAAGAAGACCTAAACACTTATCGATGATAAAGTCTTCACGCTCAACAGCTGTCATCTGTTGCTTTGCAAGCCAAGGGAAGC